GGATGTATACTATGGGAGGAGGCGATGGAGGATGCAGGATGCATCCACGTAGATTAGGAAGATGATCGGGCCTGCTGACGATGAAGAGGCCGCCCGATCATCCAAGATAGGATGACATCAGCAGTCGGGAGACTGCTAAGTTTTCGGAAACCCCTGCGTATCACAGATGTGATAAGCTCAGACCCGTACCGCGCGGCTTGCTGTATCCCTGAGGAAAAATCCCGCGCAAGCCCCAACGTACGGACGCGGACAGAAAGGGGTTTTCCTTTCTTTTTGCTTTTGTTTTCTTTTTGAAACGGCCCTTTTATTTTGTTTGGTTAATAACTCCCGCGCGGGCGAATAGCGGCCTTGGTATGAAACCAAGAAACGGGTGCGGTTGGGACTTTTTGAATTTTTGCGCGCGCACGCCTAAGCTCCGATTTCTTCACGCGTCTCGCACCCCCGTTTCTTGCTTTGCATCCCTGCGCCATCTTCTTTTCTTGCTGCGCGCGCTTCGCTCAGGCCGGACTCTTCGTCTTCCCCTACGCCCGGCTTGATCCTTACCCCGTCTTCCTCCGCGAAGTAATTGGCTTCGTGGTTGGGATGCTCGGATCAAGGTGGAGAGCGGGAAACCACGCCCTTGAACGAACACCCCAATCACGTAGGACCATGCAACCCCGCGGGTCGAACCCTCTAACTCCCCACCGTTCTTCTGTCCTGCTCGTCTACACCCTGCGCTGCCCGCACCTCGCGCTGACAACCCGCCCCCTCCCGCGCTATAAATTCGCGCAACCCTCTCCTCTCCTTCTCTTTGATCTCGGCTGCAACGCTGCGCGAGCTATGTGTAAAGTCCGCGGCGGCGGATAGGCTCGACGAGCCCAAGGACGGGCGGAGTGACGATGCGGGGTGGGCGCGCGGTAGTCTCGGGGCGAAGCAGTCAGAGGGACTGAGCAGTGCTGGGGATTGGACGCCGGCCGCCGCAGGGCCTTGTGGCCTATGTATCCCCAGCGGCCGCGGTCACCGCGGGCATGACCGCGGCCCATGCGGTCGACCGCGCGCTTGCGGTCATGACCGCGGCGGCTGCGGTCGAAAAACGCGCGCTGCGGGCAGGGGAGGGGGGCTACCCGAGGTCAGGGTCGGGATTCCGGGGGCGCACCCCACGCCCCACCCCCCTACATTGAAAAAAAAGAAAAAGACTTAAAAATGGGGGGGTCCATTTTACGGGGGGCGGGGGAGAAAAATAATGGACCCCCTTTCATTGTTTTTTTGTTTACTTTTTTTTT